TGAGATATTTGAAAAAAGTACAAATTTCGAATTCTGAAGATAACTCAAAAACGAAATAAGAGAAAAACATCATACTGTAAATTTAAGCTTTAATCTATCCTCCGGTGAACTGATTATATTTTGGGCATAGTCGGAACATCTGGGGGTACTTTATAGGCAGTCATTTTTTTTAAAGGAATATATCTGTTATTTACGCTTCAAGAAGAAAAATCTTTAAATAAAAATTGCTTATATATTCTCTATAATTTTAACCCTTTAAAAAATTTTTGTTAAATAGTTCGTATTCGAAAAATTTGACAAAAAAATAAAGAAGAAGAAACATCAATCCGCATCCTGTGCCAGTCTAAGGACCTGCTAATTTAAGACTTCTAACATTAGGCGAAGAAAAGCCACTACATGCGGGAACCACTTTCAAAGTTACTAAGTCTAAAAAAAACACGAGCTGCTCGACATACTCAAAATAATGGAGTCCCACAATAGACCTAAAAAGGTCGTGGTGGACAAGGACAAATAATGTCAAACTCCTTTAAAATATAATCTAATATAACAGAAGTTCGACAGGAGACAATAAGGAAATTGGTAAGAAATTTAAAAAACTTTGGAATGTTTGTTAGCTAAAATACTAAAAACGTTAATATTTGATAGTTACTGTAAAATCGCTTAAATTTTTACTTCAGGATAGTTGTAGACTAATTTGTTTATTTGCAGACCTCCACAAAGATTTTATTGGAATATCTTTAACAGATTCATCTAACAATTTGATCTGAAAAATCAGTTGATGCTACTAAAGTTTTTTCATAATTTAATGATCTAACGTCCAGTAAGCAGAAGCGCGAACTCATAAAACTAATTATTTTGACTCAAAAGAAAATACTCTTGCTGTTAGTTGTCCTATAATAGAAACTTACTTACCGATTACACAACAAAATTTTCTCAATCCATCGAACATATTTTAAATCATGACTATCCATATACTAAGACATAATTGTATTAAAAAATTCACAATACACAACTACCCTATACTATTAAAATGGTAATGGGCTACGAACGAAATCAGCTGATATTTTGAATAGTATATACTTCTTCTATGACATTATCTTTTTGAGTGAAACTTTGCTTAACGAAGATTTATAGTTCTGAATTTTTTGGTGTTAGATATATGTTGTATTCGGGAAAAACAGAAATTATGGCAACTGCATCTCATGTTATAACCGATAATATTGATACTCCAGTATCTACGCACTATGAATATATTTGGGTAAAGGCTAAAATGAACAATATTGAGACGGTAATTGGATATGCACTAAATTTTGTAATCTATCGTTTTGGTAGAAATAAATCCTCGTACTTCCTTGTAAATCCTTATAAATCCTCATAAATCTTTCATACATCCTCAGAAAACCTAAGAAACATCACTTAAGCACCAATACTACCCAAAATTAAACCACATTCCGTTATATATCTCTTTCAATGCAGCATTTCTATCTTTACCACCCAACAGAGCTAAAATAATTTTAGCAAAATTTCACTTTCGATAATGAAAGATTTGGACACGCCCTCAACAAACAAGAACTAACGAGAGGCAATAACCTGCCACGGCACATCGCCGCTCACGTCCCTCATTCCATTTTCGAACTTCCACTAGTCAACATGTCTTGCTAAACAGTCCATTTTCTAACGTTCAACAATAAGTACCTCGAACAGACAACACACATCGTTCCGTTCCTTGCTTATCAAAACCACAGTAAATATGACTCAGCACGCATCTCGTTACACAAACTTTAGAGTCAAATCATAAGAGGTGACTTGTTTGAGGGGTGGATATTTTCACTTTTAGAGTCACACAATTTTTGTTATCGTCCACAGAGCGTGAGAATTAGTTTTTTACAAGCATAGATAAGTTATCTTGTAAATATGTAAATAATTTGTGTTCTCAATTTTCAAATAATTGTGCGATTACTCAGTGTTTAATTTGTGGACAAGTTTCCCTCTCAAGGTTAAATACAGATTCACCAGTACTAGGTTCTTTTTTTCTTAATTTTTATCTTTATCGGTTATAAGCAGGTAGGGTTAGGCTTGGCCCAGAACACTGCGGCTTCTAGGGTCTATTGTATTCCCCTGCTTTTCCTGTATTCGGGTACTATCTTTGGAATAGTCCTCTGTCTTTGGTTAGTTTACTACCGAGTGTTCCTGGGGCGTTCATTCCAGTTCTAGCCCGAAAGGATGAGATATCGCCTAGTAAGAGCTTCGCATTCGAAGATCATATGGTATGAGGTTTCTTCCTCTTCCATGCAAAGTCTACACGTAGTGAGAACATTGTGTAATCCTATCACATGAAGGTGTTTCAACAAGCAGTGCCCCGTTGGTAATCCCACAATGGTGGATATCTGAGGCCTTGCGAATTGTAGTGCCTCATTAGCCATGCATGTGCTTGGTCCCCTTAGCATGAGCTTACTGATTTTGTGCCCTCTTATCTGTTACCAATGAATTTGGTGTTTTGTGGTTATCCACCTGTTCACTGCTCGTTGAGCAGAGGTTTTGCTTATCCCAAATACAGGTTCGGGTCCTGTAAATAGTAGTTCTGATCCCTCTTTGGTAAGTTCATCAACCTTTTCTTTTCTTTGGAAACCTTTGAGCCCTTGCACCCCCGTTAGTTTTACCTTATTGTGGGATCATTTAGTATTACAAGGCAGTTCCAGACAAGCTCTGACTTGATTTTGTTTGAATCAAGAGCCTTTAGGGCTGCTTGACTATTTTTGAGAATTGGGATGGTTTGTTTTTTGAACTTCTTTCTTAAATTCTCTCGTACACATAATTCGATTGCATGTATTTCAGCCTGAAATACAGTGTTATGCAGTGAGACGATGATGTCGCATTTGGCTTTAACTCCATGTACGCCAGAGCCTGTTCCCTTGTTAGTCTTAGTCCGGATACCATACGAGACCACTAAGTGATTATTTTTCTACCTCGTTCCAGTTGCAGTTGACCTGGAAGAGTCTATTGAAGATTCGGCGGGGTGTCATGTGATCTGATACCATATTTAAGTTTAATATAGGATCATTTACTTCATGTGTTATGTCTCAGTGAGTTCCTGTCTGCATGCACTCATTCTGACGCTCCTCCTTTATTACTAGGTCAAGGGGTGGGAGGTTTAGAATGATTTCTATATAACCATTTGGCGTACGTCTCAGTGCTCCTGTTAAACAATGGCTTGCCAGGCCACTGAACTCCTGAGAGGGTATTGAGGGCTGTTTTCTGGTTTACTTTTGGACACCAAACAACGGCTCCATAAGTTATCATGGGTCTTGTTATTGCCACATATAGCCAGTGGACCATTTTTGGTTTTAATCCCCATGTTTTTTTCCAAATACCCTTCTCCCTACTATGAGAGACATTTTGCATTTGTTGGTCACTTTTTGTAAGGGTGGTTCCAAGTAAGTTTGCGATCTAGGATTAAATTCAGATATTTTACTTGGTTCATTTTGTTTAGCCTTCCTCTAAACAGAGTCGAAGTCTATAGGACCTCTAATCTTGTTTTCTGAGTAAAGGTTATGAATTGTACCTTTTTAGGATTTACCAAGAGGTTTTCCCTAACGCACCACATTTCTATCAGCCTTAGATCTCTTTGCATGAGTTCGAAGATTTTGGTTTGTTATTTTCCTCGGATAAGAATGACTATGTCATCGACGTATCCTTGGGCGTACAGCCCTTGATTATTCAGTGTTCTCAGCAGAATTTTAGTTGATTTTGTTTAAGGATGGTTATTAATTTTAGATATTGCCGTTTTTTTACTTTGTTATCAGAATTTAATTTCAGTTAAAACATTTAAATTTTGTACTTATATGAACTATATTGAACTAACATTCCAAACAGCCATCAATTTTGTCTCATGTATAATTTTGCTACTTTCATATTTAATATTCAAATTTCTAATTAAATTCCTAGAAAATTAGTGGCTTTCAGGTAATTAAAATTATTTATAACAATAAAGTTCCCAAGAATTTATTAGTATCGAATAAACCCCAAAGCGAAACAAATAAAAGCACAAACAAAAATATAAAGTTTTATTAAAAAACAAAACAGCTGTACAAATCACTGCTCTAAAAAGAAAGAAGAAAGCAACAGATTCATTTTAAAAAGTTTATGTACAAAAAGAATTATTTTAAAGAGACTTGATAGAAAATTAGTTTTAAACAATTAAAAAAAAGCAATAAAAAACAAAAATTATATACAAAAATAGCGTGTACCTACTTATATCAGATAATAATGAATTTTGTATTACGAATATTTTCAGTATTTTGAAATATTTACAATTTTTTTATCAACTTTATAATAAAATGCACATAATATTAGTAGTATTATTAATATTATTAATATAAGTAATATTTTTATAATATATACAGGATGTTTTTAAGAAAGTTTATTATATGTATATACTTCATGCAGTGGGTGTATTAAAACAGGTGAAAACATGTAATGTACAAAAGTTGTATTGTGGTTTTTTTTAAAAATAATAGATTATAAATGACAAAATTAAATAATATATCAATTTATTTTCACGAGGAAAATTGCATTGAAATTCGATATTAAGTGATTTTTGGAACATACGATATTTTTAAAAATTAAAATAAACGTTTTTTTTTAATATGATACTTGTTTCCCCCACCCTAAACTGACACGTCACTACGAAATAGTTATTATACTTTTTTATATTCTAAATTCTAATTATACTATCAGTGGATATTTAAAATTAAAAATTCTGTGATAAATTTAAAACTTTAGGTAGGTACATGGTACCCAACCAAATTTGAACCAAATATACATAGCGTATTTCCTAAAAATACATTTAAGCCTATATATTTTGCAACTCATGGATCCTTTTTATAGTTAACGTCCGTAAAACTCACCTTAAACACCCTGTATATTTTTTTAAATCGTTCTTATCTTATTTTCTTCTACTATAAATAGTACCTTTATTTTTTAAGAACTAACCGAAAATATTAATGGCAACTTTTGATTGATAGACGCGTTTCCGTACGCGAATGCAGAGACGGCGTCGTACCATTGGCGTGCGTGCTCGTCGTATACGTTCTCACCTTGCCCCTTCGGCGCGTCCTGATATTGAACATGCCGTACACCACCGGGTTCATGCAGGAATTCGTGCAGGCGAAGAGGAACAGTCCTTTTTGGACTCGCTCGTCCACCGCTAGCGCCGAGGTTCTGTCGTACCAGTACCTGTAACAATAAATTAATTAAAATATAAATAATATTAATATTAAAGATTGTTTTTTTTTTTGGGCCATCGGCATCAACTGCTAAGGTTATTAGCCTCGTGTTCTGTGTATGCTTTGTTACTGTTTCCCAGCGCCACTTTAGGAACAGCACTGTTAATTAGAACCCATAATGACAATAATAGTAATGATATGATATAAATAAATGATATTGACATTAATGACATTAATGATATCAATTATATTAATTATATTAATTATATTAATTATATTAATTATATTAATTATATTAATTATATTAATTATATTAATTATATTAATTATATTAATTATATTAATTATATTAATTATATTAATTATATTAATTATATTAATTATATTAATTATATTAATTATATTAATTATATTAATTATATTAATTATATTAATTATATTAATTATATTAATTATATTAATTATATTAATTATATTAATTATATTAATTATATTAATTATATTAATTATATTAATTATATTAATTATATTAATTATATTAATTATATTAATTATATTTAATATAATTAATTATATTAATTATATTAATTATATTTAATATAAATAATTATATTAATTATATTTAATATAAATAATTATATTAATTATATTAATTATATTAATTATATTAATTATATTAATTATATTAATTATATTAATTATATTAATTATATTAATTATATTAATTATATTAATTATATTAATTATATTAATTATATTAATTATATTAATTATATTAATTATATTAATTATATTAATTATATTAATTATATTAATTATATTAATTATATTAATTATATTAATTATATTAATTATATTAATTATATTAATTATATTAATTATATTAATTATATTAATTATATTAATTATATTAATTATATTAATTATATTAATTATATTAATTATATTAATTATATTAATTATATTAATTATATTAATTATATTAATTATATTAATTATATTAATTATATTAATTATATTAATTATATTAATTATATTAATTATATTAATTATATTAATTATATTAATTATATTAATTATATTAATTATATTAATTATATTAATTATATTAATTATATTAATTATATTAATTATATTAATTATATTAATTATATTAATTATATTAATTATATTAATTATATTAATTATATTAATTATATTAATTATATTAATTATATTAATTATATTAATTATATTAATTATATTATATAAATTGTTATTAATGGTATTAATGATATTAATTATATTAATTATAAAAATTATATTATTGATAATAATGATATGAGTAATATAATAATATAAAAAACTAAATGAATATTTAGGTGCAGGCAAAGTGCATCTGGTGGCGCCTTCTGTGGTGTACATCAAAATTGTGTTCAGATTTCAATATATCATTCGAAATAGTTATAAATTACAAAATTTCAAGATGAATATTTTCAAAAATAAATAAAAAATTATAACTTTGACACCCTGTAATTTGAAAACTATCAACTTTTTGAGTAAGGCAGATTATTATATTTTAGCCCATTCTGTATAGACTTTTCAGGGACATCGTGTATAATATTATGTTCCTAAAGGCTGTTTAAGGAGAAAATCCATAGAACAGAAATTCGAAGATAATATACATTTCGACCCAGATGTTTTTAAAAGAAAAAATGATATTTGTTCAATATTACAATATTGATAGGGAGCGACGAACTGGTTAAAAAAAGCAATTTAAGGTGCTTCCGGGCGTCGAATATATTAACTTCCGTGATATAGAATAAAATGGAAATGAACAAGGAAATAAAGATACGTCAAACAAATACTATTATTATTATTATTATTAATATTTTGTCTATAATGTGGGGAGCATTGCGCCACACCACGTATATGTCACTATATCCATTCTCGTAATTGTTTCTCGTATCGCCCAAACTATGTTTTTAGTATACACAGTAGTCACTGCAGTAATAGTTCTGTAAATATACAGAAACTTATGGAAGGAAAGAGTGTGGGGTGTCAAGAGTGTCATTGGTCATATTAATTAATTTTGTGTCATGTTTCTATTAATATTATTAGTCTGATTAAATGGTGTTCAAAAGTGCCTGTTTCGTAACACGAGTGCGGTAGAAGGTTTCTCAACGGAATTATATGGTTTTTGGGGTGCTGAACACGAAACTGAAGTTTGTTGCCTCGTAGCAGTGTCGCTTCAGGTCGAAAAACGCAAAAATCATCAAAATTTTCGGAGTTTTTCTGGTTTTCTGCTCATATCATGGAAACGATGCATCCTACGAAAAATATAGTTCTGTTTAAAGTTAAAGAGCATAAAAATTTGCGTCGAAAAACTTCCCTAACTTTCAAATTGGACCGATTTATAAGGTCGCTATCGTCAGTCAAAAAAGCCAATTTTTAGCAACTTTTGTGAAAACTGCAAGAAACTCACTTTATGAAAACAGCCACTCTACGTGAAAAAATCGTGTAAAAAATGTTGTAAACCATCAAATTTTGCATTCAGTGAGCACCAAATTTTAAATTTGGATCAGTATATACGCATATACTGATCATTTCTTCATTGTCACTGTTGGTGTGGCTTTACAGTCAATCTAAAAACATTCCGGGAACTGACAAATGGAATGGTTTAATGGAGGACGTGGCCAGAGACATACCATATGAAACAACTATCATTGACTGCCAGCCTTTCATCAATGCACCTCCAAGCGATTACGACACTATATATGTATACATCACTGTTAACTGCTGTCAGGAATACACAATCCTGTTGTCCTGGACAACAAACAACGTTTCTTATGTTCGATCGGCCCCTATACTTCAAGGCGCGAGATGTCATAGCAAGCCATGAGGGAGATCCTGAGTTACGTGGCGTGTTCGTAATGCTTGGAGGGTCTCACTTACTCATGTCGTTCATAGGGGCAGTGACTTACATACTGGAAGGCAGTGGCCTAACTGAACTGTTCAATACTGTGTATGCAGTTAACAGCACTGAGAAGATTACACGCTCACAGCAGGTCTGTCAGAGGGCACGCTTTAACTGCTACAGCCCTGGGTAAAGTGATAATGGATTCAATCAATTTCTCTCCCTCGTTTCGCTTTAAGGTTGAACACGTTTTGTACAGTAGAGATTTAAGTGAGCTGCTCAATACACATGATGAAGGATGGGGGAAGGAAATTGAGCAATTGTTCAAAGCCTAGCTCCAACATCTTGCCAATCTGGGGCCCACTGCTAAGTTGTGAGTACTTATTACTTCTTATTACATCAACATAATACTTATAAATCCTCAAGTCAGACTTGCAATAAAAGGAGGGGAAGGAAATTTAGGGTTGGAAAGGGAGTTTGAGAGAGAGGGGGAGTTGGTACTTTAATTTAGGGTTGTGAGAGGTGGAAGGTTCATATTGACAGCGCAGAGTTGTTATTATTGAACTCCTGCATATGGGTCAAAAAAGCGTTTAGAGGGAAAATGGAGAAATTATCAGTACATAAGTATATACTGGTCCAAATTTAAAATTTCGGTGCTCACTGAACGCAAAATTTGATGGTTTACAACTTTTGTTACACGATTTTTTCACGTAGAGTGGCTGTTTTCATATAACAGATCTCTAAAAGTGAGTTTCTTGCAGTTTTCACAAAAGTTGCTAAAAATTGGCTTTTTTCGACTGACGATACCGACTTTATAAATTGGTCCAATTTGAAAGTTAGGGAAGTTTTTCGACCCAAATTTTTATGCACTTTAACTTTAAACAGAACGATATTTTTCGTACGATGCATTGTTTCCATGATATGAGCAGAAAACCAAAAAAACTTCGAAAATTTTGATGATTTTTGCGTTTTTCAAGCTGAAGCGACACTGCTACGAGGCAACAAACTTCAGATTCGTGTTTAACACCCCAAAAAATATATAATTCCATTGAGAAACTTTCTACAGCTTTCATGATACCGAAAAACTACCATTTGATCAGGCTACACAACTCAAGAGGACCAAGTTGACATTACATTTAGTTATAATATGCAAAAAAACTTTTTTATCTGTCCATGTCCATTACGAATATTAAAAATATTAATATTATATTATTAATAATAATATTAAAAATATATTAATCATTTGCTATAAATGAGTTATTAAAAGAGACGCTCGCCGCTGTATCATAATATTTTATTCGATCGGTAATAGGTCAACAGGTGTAGCCTTCAATTTTTGGTCATTTGCCTTACCGTCATTATATAAGACTACAGACATTTCGCTATGTTCTGATCAACTGGCGTAGCCCATGAACTAAAAAATTGTGCGTAAATGGGAAATCACAGAACACTTACTCTTAGAACGGTAACTCCCATGTTAGAAAACGGTAATGGAATTTCAGCGCCACCTGGTGGATATGGTTGATTTTTTAATGAAGTCCTTATCGGGTAAGTGGTCATATCATAAAAGAAAAAAAAAGAAGAAGAGAAGAAAAGCGCGGGGCCATTCAAATTTGACAGTAAAAATTACTCGCATTAAAAACTGTTAGCCAAATTAAGATTTGTTCACTCAATAAAGCAAAAATTGAGTTGCATGAACCAATCTTTACTTGACTAACAGTTTTTAGATAAAAAAACAAGCATAATTAAAAAATTAATTTATTATAAATATATATACAAATCCAATATTATAAAATGTATTATGTATGAAGTAGTTGGCTGCTACATAATCCAGAATACAGAATTGTGCCCCTAAAATTATGAAGAATATTATCTCTAAATCAGAAAACACAGTATAAGTATAAAAATTTAACATTTATCAGAAACAATGGCAGTATTTACCGTCATCAAATAGTTTCATTTGATTAGGAATTATACGTTTCTATGTTTTATGTAAAAAGTTGGGATGAAGGTGAACGAACAATGGACAGTGTTGAAATTTGAAATATCTTTATAGGGTTTGTATTTCAATTAAACCTAGGATCAATTATTATTCCAAACATTTTGAGTTGGGT